GAGCAGGGGCGGGGCGGGAAGGAGGGGCAGAGGGAGAGGGAGAGAGAGAATCTCAAGCAGACTCCCCGCTGAGCACGGAGCCCCATGTAGGGCTCGATTCTGTGACCCTGAGACCATGACGTGAGGCAAAACCAAGAGCCAGATGCTTAACTAACTGAGCCACCCAGGCGCCCCTGAAAATGCTGCTAGCTTCAAAGTTGGAGGAGGGGCTGTGAGCCAAGGAATGTAGGAGGCCTCTAGAAGCTGGAAAAGCAAGGAAACTGATTCTCCCCTAGAACCTCCAGAAAGAACAGAGCCCTACTGACCTCCAGAACTAGGGGATAATAAATTTAGTTTTAAACCTGGCCTGAGGAGATGTATTATAGCAGTAACAGGACATAAATACGAAAGGTTTCCCTAGTTGCAATGAGAAGAAGCACCCCGGCTGTCTCCAGCTCCTGATCTTATGCCCAGTGGGAGTCTCTGGCTCTCTAACCGTTGTAGAATGCACAACGTTTATGCATGCTAGCAGTAGGAAAAGTGCTTAAGGGAATCAGAACCAGTGTATTAAGCTTTTAGTGTTAGGAACATGTAAAAATTTGATAGCTTACATAATTGCCATGACTTTAAACATTTGAACTATGAGAGTGGCAGCTTATAATGTGAGTTTAAAATGTATCATTGAGTACTTGATGTAAATTTGCAATTTTAAGTTAAAGCCATGTTAGATTGATTTCCCACTTTGGGATATTTAAAAGAGCTTTAAGGCCACTGATCTATGTAATATTTATACTATACATTTGCATTTATAAAAAACATTCAAGTACGCAGATTTGCTTAACAGAAATAAATTTCATGAAATGTGTAAATACTACATAAAATATTTGAAGGCTTTTAACTGACAAAGAAAAAGATGGAGCCAACATTAAGGTTTTTTAAAAAGTAATTGCTAAAAACTAGACTGATAAATAATAGAATTTCTAAGCTGAACTCCAAAGATTAAGAACTAGGTTTTTGAATTTGTAAATGTAATAAATTGAATATTTAGTTGTCTTTTCTACACACAAACACTATCTTCGACCATCTTGTGACCCTCATACCAACAGGCAGTGGATCCTAAGTACTAACAAAGTACCATACCCGCCACGCAGTAACCTGTACATCTCCATGCAAAGTTACATTTTATCCTCTTCCCCATTATAACCGGATGTCCCTTTTATAAGTACTTTGGATATTTGCTTCTTTGTCCTGATAGAATATCATTGTGACTAATAATGTTGTAAAATTAGCTGCATCACCTTCTGAACACAAAACATGTGCTTACGGCTATAGCAAAAATGGTCTTCAAATTTCTCAGGAAAAAAAAAATCAATATTTGATTTTTTAAGAGGTAGTCTTCATGGAAAAACCTAAATTTATGGTCTGAGTTATTTTTAATTTTGAGGTACATATTTGAGGAGAGTAGTCAAATCTTTGCAGGGCTTAGGGGCTCTGAAGGTCTTATGCACATCTTGCAAAGTCACCTCTAAAATAAGCAGAGTGCTCGCTTCCGCAGCACATATACTAAAACAAGCAGAAAACATTGCAGGCTTAATAGTGCAATGACCTAGACTGGCGACCAAAAGCCAGAGCAGGACCTCTCCCGCCATCTGTTGGCGACAGGTGGAATTTCCCCGCACTCAGGGCGGTTGGTGGCAAGCTTTTATGGGGACCTGCAACTTTGTTTGTAGCTGCAGAAGTTTATAAAGAAGGAATTTCTGACCTCTTTATTTAAAACAGCAACACACTCACCCCAGGATACAGGATAGGCTCTGTTCCTCTTCTCCCTTTATTTCTCCCTCTGGTACTTCTCCCCATTCCACACTAGGTTTCGCTTGCTATTTATTACTATTGTATCAGTTTTGTATTACTATTGTATTAGATACTATTATAGCACAAGAAAAGTGGACCCAGGAAGGCAAAGGGAACTGCAGCTTGTGTGAAGGCTTTGGCTATGAGAGCTCTTAATGCTGAGGGAATGATGCGGCGGGCCACGATCTTATCTGGGGGCCATGGTGGTCAACAGGGTCAGAATTACTACTGGGAAACCATTGTGGAGTGGTTTTGTTGGGTCTTTGCTTCTTTTCTTGTCCATCTGTCACCACTACAATGTAAGTTCCAAAGGGCACAGATTTTTATAGGTTTTGTTCACTGCTGGTGGCAGAAGCTGCTAATTTGCCCATCAGCCATCCTTCCCTTCATCCTTTTGTAATAGAATCCCCACCTGCCTGTAGCATTTGCTGGTACGTGGTGGCCTGCTAGTGAGCATTTCCCAGCCTCTCTTGCAGCTCAATGAGGCTGTGCATTGAAGCAATTGCCAATAAGTGGGGAATAAAAGTCATTCTTTAACTTCACGTCTTGCCTTAGGACCTTAAGACGATTGCTCCCTTCCTGCAGGCTAAACACAGATATGATGAGGACGCGCCATTTAAGGACAACATCTTTGAGGATGGCTAAGCCACAAAACAGAAGGAGCCCAAGTTCTCTGATGACATACAGAATCAAGTCCCCAATGAGATGGGACCTCTGCATGGTGAGGAGAGAGAAATAAATATCCATGTTATTTTGGGATCTCTCCCTTAGAGCCTCTGTTATGAACTGAATTGTGCCTCCCCAAAAGTCCTATGTTAAAGCCCTAACCCCTAATGTGGCCATGTTTGGAGATATGACCTGTAAGGGGATAATCAAAGTTAGATGAAGTCATAAGGGTGGGGCCCTAGCCAACAGGACTGGTGTCCTCATATGGAGAAAGAGACACCAAAGATGGTGATCTCTCTCTCTCTCTCTCTCTCTTCCTATATATATATCTCAGTGCTCACCTGAGGGAAGGCCATGAGAAGGCACTGTGAGAAGAGGCATGTCCAGGCATGTCTATGAACCAGATAGGGAGCCTCATCACAAACCAACCCACGCAGCACCCTGATCTCGGACTTGTAGCCTCCAGAATGGTGAGAATGAATTTCCATTGTCGAAGCCACCTGCTCTGTGGGATTGTTACGGCAGCCCTAGTGGACTAATAGAGCCTCTAGCCTGTACCCTAACGAATACACTGCTGCACCCCTTAGTGCCTAGAATATGTCTGGAAATTAGCAGATGTGCAATAAGTATTATTTGGGTAGATGAATGAAAAGAATAGAAAGACAATATTTAATTTATATAGTGCTATAAAAATATAAAAGATTAACAGACTAAAAGATGGTATCTGTCCATTCAGCCACCTATGCGTTCATCTTTGCATCACCCTGGCTGTATTTGCAGGCAAATGAAACCTCGTCTCTGAACCCCTACCAGCGATCTCCTTTCCTGCAGTCCACCCCCAATCTATCCATTGTCAGCTTCTGTTCATTTTACTACCTCCATCACTTTATAATTTTCCACCATTATGATAGTTACAACTCTCATCCAGATCCTATTATCTCTTGCTTACTTTGTGATAATTTCTTCCAAACCACTCCCTCTTGTCTCTGTATTGGGAACCTGTCACAGAGACTTCTTGTTGTCTCTCTCAAACTCATTTTGCCTTCTTTCATAGGAACACATCCCTCATTTTATTCAGGTTGGCAACGTACTCTGTGAAACAACCCGGTTTCCCTATTGCTCCTGCTGGCTAGGTGCAGCCACATGACTAAATTCTGGCTGAGGAGCTTAAGTGGAATTTGTTAAATGAGGCTTCTGGAAAACCTTTTTAAAAGAAATATAGAGAGCTGGGGCCAGGCCACTTTTTACCCTTTTCCTCCACTCCTTTCTTCTTGTTGCCCGGAATCTGTGAGTGATTGCTGGAACCCTAGCAGCTATATTGAACTATGGAGGATTGAGGAGAAGAGAGAGAGAAAGAAACTCTGCCCCTGAGGATTTTGTGGAGCTGCCATACCAGCCCTGGATTGCTTACCTCCAGGCTTCTTTTACTTAACAGTGAAGTACACTTTTTAATGTATAAGCCATTGTAGTCAGGTCTCTGAAATAAGCAGTTGAACTCAATTCCTAACTGAAACAGTTCATGTCTTCATTGCTGTCCATCAGTTTAAATTTGCTGATGCATAGTTTGAGGGCAGCTATTTTGACACCATTGATGTAGAGCTGAAAAGGTCTTCAATAAACAATCTCACAAGGTAAGTGGGAGGACTATCAATAGCCTCATTTTACAGATGAAGAAACTAAGGCTCAGGATCAGACAGTTAGTAGATGTCAGGAAAAGGATGAGAACCCAGGTCTCAGACAATGCTGAGTGATTATACCAATGCTGTGATATAAGCTATGGGATTTGAGTTTGTGCATGCGTGCACGCACACACACACACACACACACACACAGTTGGATTCTAGAGTGGATACCTTCTGCTTTTGTCTATCTTTATACTATCTATCCTCTGATAACAAAACCTTTCCCTCTCCCTCAGCTGAAGCTACCAATCACCTGACTCTAGGTGATACATGACATCAGCCCCTCAACAACGTGACTGGCCCAGAGGTGGACATGTAACCCAGTCAGAGCCACACAAGGGGCTTTCGGGGACTGCCACTTATTCACTGTCTGTGAACTTCTACTTGGTGGTTATGAGGATGAGCTAAAACAATTCAGAAGAGGGGCTGGCATATGGTGGATGCCCACTTACTATTTGCTGTTTATTTGATTTCCTTATTTCCCTAGACACCATTAAGTCCACAGAGTAGAAACTCCCGCTATATAAAATTAACAATGAAGCCCCCAAGATTAAGCCCACTTAATCTCCTCTTTTATTTGTCCATTTGTTCCCCATCACACAGACAAAAGAGTCATGTCTCTTTCAGAACCACTTCAACTGATTTTGGGTGAAAAAGCAGACCTTGGGGACCATCCCCATCCCTTATTAATCTCTGGAGTGGCAACTGTAATCGATGGGATTATGAAAATATGCCTTGCTTCTCAATCCGGCAATCTTAAAAAATTAGACATATTTTCATTCCTACTTGAATCAAGAGTCCAGAAACCACATAAAACACACATTTGGATGTGCTCATGGTATTTATTCATAGTATATTTCACAATGTATTAATAAAGGAGAATAACACTTATTCCTACGCTGAGTATAACTTCTTCTGGAGCACTCTGGAGTTTGTTTGAGGTTGGAGGTTACTGCCAGGTTTTTTCTAATCTCTTCGGGTTGTGGAGGTGGGTAGGATTTCTCAAAGCGAGCACCTGCCATGGGCCACTGGTAATGATTTCCCTTCAATCAGGTCAGAAGGGCAGAAGGACACTGACTTCAACTTCCATTTTGGAAATAAGTATCAAGCAGTGCATTAATGGAAAATCAGAAAGACTCAGGTGTCTTGTACTCCACAGTTTATGTCTTCTCACAAATGCTGATTATGGTATAGCAGCCACGGACACTGGGCAGGGTCCTAGGCTCACATCCTGACGAGAAGTCATGTCACCAGCCAAGGTGTTTATGCAAAAGGCAATCGTGATGACTAAGAACTGGTTCTGAACTTCTCCAGGTGTGCTGGGAGTGCTGAAGGTCATCCCATCCTGAGCATCCTCTGTCTTGCCACTGATAAACTTGGACACCACTTTAGAACATCTTGGCAAAATGTTGAGAGGATCCCACTTTCTCAGTATCACTCTGTAATGAAGCTGCTTTGGGGTACCCTCCATTTAACTTCAGAGAGCTCCAGGCACCATGAACTGAAGCAAAGTATTAACAACAATAACAAAAAAGAAGAACAGAGTCCAACTCTCTTCCAAAATAGGCATGTCCAAAAATAAGGATAAACAAGCTGGTCTTATTTTTCCAAGTGATTCTGTCCATTGCAAAGTGTCCTTCCATTCCTCCCTTTTATTAAAAATGTTTACATTTCTGAGGCTGATGATCACTTAAATATATACAATATATAGCACCAAGGCAGCAATTTTTTTTTTTCCCAGAGATCACATGAAACTGAATAGTTAACATAACTAATAGCTGGAACGATCTGTGACATCACTACGTTACTTATTGGCTGATACTTTCCTAGAAATGCCAAAGTACACTTACACAACTCCTGTAGCACCTTGATGGCAGCTAGGTTGTTTTAAAAAAATGAAGTACAATTTTAAAAAGTAACAATAAAATATTTACAGATAGAAAGTAAACAATAGTGTACCGTGATAATGAAGGATCACTTTTGTCATAGTACTACATATAATGTAGAGTACGTAAAATGCAGTGATCTGACTGCAAGGGACAAAATAATGCAAAAGGCAGTCATAATAGAATCATTTTACGTACAAAAATATTACATCACAATAAATAATTTCAAACATAAATATTAAACTTTACATCATTAGGATATTCCACATATATACACACATATATGTACATACATATGTATGTACATATATGTGTGTATATGTATATATGTGCATATGTACACACACACACTCATACAAGTCCTCACACACACACACACACACACACACAAATTTAAGGTGGAGGTATTGCATTACTATCCTTCATCCATCCCATAGTGGTTTCCTCTTCAGAGCACCTGAAAATAAATAAGAAATGTAAACCATCTGTCTCAAATGCCATACATAAGTCAAAAGTAGGTAATCTATACATTTTTACATATAGAATTTTAAAAATGACACTATTTTCTCTAGATTTTAAAAGTGACATAAGTTTGCTATAAGAAACATGAACATTTCAAGGGAGTATAAAAAGAATAAAATAAAAAACTACTAGCCTGAAATCTCTCACGTGAGAAAATGCTCTTCAAATATTGGTACATTTCCTTCTAGTTTTTTCCTAGACATACATGTAAATATTATGTATATACACTCACAGAAATTTTACTACACATAAACACATACAAAACTATTTTACTAGATGTAAAATACATATAAAATGGGGCTCTCTAGTGGATACCTGACTTTGCCTGCCTCCATCCCATCTCCTCTTTTCCAATAAACTCCTTCTTCCTCTTCTAAATGAAGGTGTCAATCACCCAACTCCAGGCGGGTACATGATCTCAGTCTCCTGGACACTGTGATTGGTTCAGAAGTGCCCATGTGACCAAAGAGAGCCCGAGTTCTTGTGCAGAATGGATGCTGGAGGTGAGCATTTATCTGGGGCCATGAGCTGCAAAAATGATGTAAGCCTAGAGCTGCCAGGGACCATGGAGTGGGGGAGATGGTCTGCCTGAGAATGAAGCAAGCCTTGCCCTCCGATGGGAGTACGAAAGGGTCTTGATGAGTCCATTTGAGCCTCTGGATCCAGCTATGCCTGAAGCTAGCCCACTGCTTGGATTTCTCAGGTACTTAAGGCGGTAAATTTCCTTTTTTTCCTGTTACCTCTTGCAATGGAAACAATCCTAATTTAAGATCATCATTTTGAATATGGATGTTTAATGCAACAGTGAAATACTGATACGTAAATGTCAGGTAGGTACGCCTATGTCAGGCTCTTGATGAGCCCTACAGGAGAATGGGCTGCTGAAAGCTTGAAATAAGTCGTAGAAGGCTCATCGAATTGGCTGAACTTATCTATTGCAGCTGAAGGCACTGGGACAAGAGAGAGTGACCAATTCAGTCCTCTGCCCAGCAGAGCGAGCACGTGGCAGCATAAGGTAGTTAGACCAGGCACTGTCAAACCTTACCATGCGTGACTCTCTTGCAGATTTGTTAAAATGGAGATTCTGGTTGTAGGTCTAGGGTCAGGCCTGAGAGTTGGCATCCCACAAGGTTCCCAGGTGATGCTGATCACGCTAGCCCTTGGATGACACTGAGTCACAAATGTGTGGAACAGCATATTAATCAAGAGCCCTGGCTTTGGTGGAGAGCACTGATGGGTTCTGCCAAAGGAATCTACCGGGACCTTAAGCGAGCCACTTCGCTCTGTGGGCCTCAGCTTCTATCTGTAAAATGAGGATAACAGCCCCATCTTGTGGCTTTATTGTGAGGCTTCAGGGAAATAATGCCTGCAGAGTGCTCAGCATGGTGCCTGACACATAGGGCTCACCGAATGTCATTAATATTGCTACTGCAATACTCTTGGGCAGCATCTCAAACATGAATCCATAGGTCACTTGAATCAGAATTCCCCGTATCAAAAATACAGATTGTTAGATGTGCCAGAGACCTAAGGACCTCTAGAGATGGAATCTGGTAAGTATCTCGAATGAATACCACAGAGGAATCTGACGCAGAGAAGCCTAGGGACCTCACATCCCAGCGTGGAGCACAGACGACCTCAATCACGTGAGGGCAGATGAGCAGGAGAGAAAAAGGTAGAATAGTACTGAATCACTTTCAAGGTGCTTCATACTAACCTGTCTGGGGGCAACTGACCCACATCCATTTGCTAGTCATGAGTTTACAGAAAGAACAGGAGAGAGAAAGAGAGAGAAATGCGGGACTGACTTACCTTGACTATAAAATTCGAACCTCCAGGCCAGTGCCAGAGGACGGAGTACATTTTCCGCAGTAACCACCGCATTTTCCTACGACTCGGGTACCGTCCTGCAAGGAAATGCCCGCGCTCAGACTACCCGCCTGGCTGGTGTTCCCAGGGCTGCCCCGGCTTTGGACAAATCTCCCTTGCATGCCCAGGAGGGAAGCCTTCCGAACAGAAGCAGAGCCCAGCATCCTCAAGTGGCCTAAAACCGGGGCTGACAAACTAGGCTCTGTGGGCCCCGTGCAGCCTGCCGCCTATTTCTGTACGGCCCATAAATCAAGAAGAGTGTTCACATTTTTAAATGGTTGAGAAGGAGCAAACCAAGAATGCTATTTCCTGACATGTGAAAATGATGGGAATTCAAATTTCGGTATCCATAATAAAGTTTTACTGGAACACAGCCCCGTTCGTTCATTCATTTAGTGTCTGTGCCTGTGTTCAGGCTCCCAGAGCAGGATGCTTTAACACTGCTGCTCAGCACACTGTAAATCACGGTAACATCAGTGCACCTTGGCAGTGCTGGGAATGCTGTGCGGATTGCCCTATCCTAACATTTTGCTTTATTTTATTACCAGCTATACCAACATGTCAGAACCAGGAAACAAAAGTGACTTCGAGCGTTGCTCTTTGAAGGCACCTTGGCATAGGAGCTTTTCTTTTATCAAACTGAGGTGGCAAAGCATTGTGTTTCTCATGTCATGACACGACAGCCACACAAGGAGGATACAGCATACGCCAATGCTGCCAACCTCAGCCTCATCACACAATCCCAACTCACAAGGAAACAACGGTCATACAGTTGGAAAGTTCACAACTGAAGATCTCACCACCGTGCAATTTCCTCCTCACAATAAGTCATGAAACAGAGTAAAAATAAACAATGAAACTAAGTTTCCAAGTGGCTGATGTGTTAGCCAAGCAGGGAAAACAGTGTATGTACCCCAGTCTTGTTTCATTGAACAGCTGAACAAATGTGTCCAGAGAAAATACACTGTTTTAAGACTATTATCCTTTCAGTAGGAACAGCTGCTTGAGGAGTTAGTGATATTGAAAGCAACATCCATAATCAATTAAAACACAAGGCGAGTAATTGTGGGTGGTATTTTTTGACTGATAGGTGGATAGCATCGATATTATTCTGTTGTTTATTTGAGGAGGTGATGCCAAGTCTGAAGTGACTCAAGAATTCGCTGCTATGAAGAGTCTGTGTAGAATGAGTTCAGGCAAGAAAATTTCAAAGAGGTTGAGGAAACACTAGTGCCGAATAACTGAAGTGGAATCTACCAAGATGTGTAGACAACTGACAGGTGTAAAAAATATGGAGACGCAGAGAAAGCGTTAGTTGGCCAAATTTACAAAGCTCATAAAAATGTAAGATGTTGGGGCACCTGGGTTGTTCAGTCAGTTAAGCATCTGCTTTCGGTTCAGGTCATGATCTCAGGGTCCTGGGATCGAGCCCTGTGTCGGGCTCTCCGCTCAGCGGGAAGTCTGCTTCTCCCTCCCACTCTACCTCTATGCTCTCTTTCTCTCTCGCGCCTGTGCGCTCACTCACTCTCTCACATAAATAAATAAAATCTTTTAAAAAGTGTAAGATGTTTGAAGCCTATAATTATTCATGTATTATCCCTCAGTAGGCACTCTGTGGAAAATATAAGAATCTATCAGGTGTTACGGAACCAGCAGTATCAAGGATGAACATCTTTTGCTATTGTGAACTTATCCATCACCTGTTGTATAGAAGCTGTACACCTAGGGCACCTGGGTGGCTCAGTTGGTTAAGCAACTGCCTTCTGCTCAGGTCATGATCCTGGAGTCCCTGGATCGAGTCCCGCATCGGGCTCCCTGCTC